TAAACTGAACACACGAACGCTGAAGATGTTAAAAAATGTATGCCAAGTAATATGTATGTATTGTCTCTGCATATATATTTTCCTAAGTTGGGACTTGTTTTTATCTTTTGAGAAAGACAAGAGAGACCGATGGCACATATCTCTCATCGAGAATTATTGTAGAATGAACAAATAGACAAATTAAGAGTGCCTGATTGGGTGTCCAGTTTTTGACTATTGGAGGGCAAGGCGAGTTGAAGCCTTTTGGGACAGTATATATCAATCATCAACATCATCTGTGGTTGATGAAGTGAACCACAATTGATTTCATGATAAATATGGAGATGGAGTGGTTTGATCAATTCAATACTAAAACCATCTACACGTAGTCTCTCTTGATAATTCATTAGGAATTAGGATATAGGAAGGTTTATATACCTTATATACATATTTGATCAAAGAAACTAAAAAAAAAAATTAAAAAATTAAAAGGCAAGAAACAGACAGACAAATTTGGTAGCTCAATTGATTAAATTCATACAATTTATTATTTGCAAAAGGGTCATAGTTTCAATAAAATATTTGCAAAATAGTAGCTGATGTATGTAGAGTTGTTAATGATGGAAAATAATTGAATAACATAAGGGAAAAGAAAAAAAGTAAAAATCATGTAAGGATTTGTTGGCAAATGAGAGTCGAATAGAGAGAGAGAGAGAGAGAGACAGAGAGAGATGTCATTCATTGACTCTTGTCTCCAACTCCATTTCATACCAAAATAATGGAAACCCAACTGCTCGCTTTCGAACTTAGAACTCTGTAACAGTTTTTAGAGTGTTCTGTTGTGAGTCTCTCAGCCGCTCACCAACTCCACGCACGCACACCTTCAACAAAAGATTTGCTGATAATATATACTACCATACTACTACTCTCTTTCTCTCTCTCTCTCTCTCACACACACACACACACACTCCTTGTCCTTGCCTATCTATCATCCCTCAATAATTCCTTTAAAGATTTTTTTATACATCATACAAATATTTATTTATTTATTTGCTGTTACTTTATGCTACTATACATTTATTACTGTCTCCTTCCAAGTTCCAATCCTCATTTTCTCTCTCTCTCTCTGTTTGTAACTGGTCTTGAATATCGGTGCCTCTCTGCAATTACTAATTCTGACACACTTTCGCTTCCCTCTTTTCTTCTCTCTCCCTACTATATTATTATTACTATATATTATTACTGTCACCATTTTATCCAATGCCCAATACTCCACTGCTACCAAGGATCAAATTTTGCTGCAGCTGCTCATTTAATCTCCCATATTAGTCAACGGTGTGCAGAAAAAGATAAAAAGACTCTTGTTGGTTCACAGACATGTACTCGTATTTATTATTATTATTACTCTCCCCCATATTAATCAACTATACTGCCTGCCTTCTCTCTGCAGTAACTATCTAAAACTTTCACTTTCTTTCAACACCATCAACAGCAATGGTGGCCGCTTCAGAGCTTGTCAAACTCGCTTATGCTGCTGTCCTATCACTTACCATAATTCTGCTGTCTCCTCAATTGACCTCATGCCACCAAAGCATCTCCTCAATCCTTGTGGAGGTGAGACAATCTTTTGTTCAGGACCCTCTGGACGTGTTCCGAGCCTGGTCCCCAACCACCCAACCAAACTTCTGCAGGTGGAGAGGCGTCTCCTGCACCAGCAGCCGGCCGCCGGCGGTGGTGGGGCTCAACCTCTCAAGCTGCTCGCTTTCCGGCCCCATACCACCCGCCATCGCCCACCTCACCGACCTGCTCCACCTAGACTTGTCTTCCAACCGCCTCTCGGGCCCCATCCCACCTTCTCTCTTCTCCAACCTCTCCTCTTTGAAATCTCTTCTCCTTTTCTCCAACCACCTCACCGGTCCAATCCCGGCCCGCCTCAGCCCAAACCTCCGCCTCCTCCGTATTGGCGACAACGACCTCACCGGGCCCATCCCGGCTTCTTTAGGCAGTCTCCACAACCTGGAGACTCTGGGCCTGGCCTCGTGCAGCCTCACCGGGCCCATACCCCCGGAGCTGGGGAGGCTCACCCGCCTCCAGAACTTGGTCCTGCAGGAGAACATGCTGGTGGGCCCCATCCCCCGGGAGCTCGCCGGATGCTCCAGCCTTGTTGTCTTCACGGCCGCCCTCAATCGTCTCAATGGCTCCATCCCGGACGAGTTGGGCGACCTATCGAGCCTCCAGATACTCAATCTCGCCAACAATACACTGTCCGGGAGGATTCCATCTCGGCTAGGTCAGATGAGTGAGCTTCAATACCTGAATCTCCTGGGCAACCAGCTTCAGGGTGACATCCCCAAGTCAATTGCTAACTTGAGTAATCTCCAGAGTCTGGACTTGTCGGGCAATATGCTGTCCGGCGAAATTCCAGGAGAGTTCGGGAGAATGGGCAGCCTAGTCTACCTCGTGCTATCGGGCAACAATCTCACAGGCACCATTCCGAAAAGCATATGTTCCAATGCCACCAGTTTGGAGTACTTGATGCTGGCCCAGAATCGGCTCATCCGAGGAATTCCAGTGGAGTTAAGAGAATGTGGGTCCCTCAAGCAGCTCGATTTGTCAAACAACACCCTCAACGGGTTGATCCCCGTCGAGCTTTACGACATGGTACAGCTGACCGACCTAATGCTCAACAACAACACTTTGTCCGGCTCCATATCACCTGCCATAGCAAACCTCACCAATCTGCAGACTCTAGCTCTGTACCAGAACAACTTGCAGGGGAATCTACCCGAAGAGATTGGGATGCTTGCCAATCTTGAGATTCTCTACCTCTACGACAATCAGCTATCCGGCGAGATTCCTGTGGAGATTGGCAACTGCACCAGCTTGCAGATGCTCGATTTGTATGGAAATCAGTTCACGGGTTCGATTCCAATCACGTTTGGGAGGTTAAAGCAGCTCAATTTCCTTCATCTCAGACAGAATGGTCTCACAGGCACGATTCCCGCCACTTTGGGGAGCTGTCGCCAGCTCACCATTCTTGATCTGGCCGACAATCAGTTGTCCGGCACTGTGCCTCCCAGCCTCGGCCGTCTCCATGCCCTGCAACAGCTCATGCTCTACAACAATACTTTCCAGGGAAGCCTACCCGAGGAGCTTTCAGGTCTTGCCAACCTGACGAGAGTCAATCTTTCGCATAACAGATTCAATGGGAGCATTGCTCCCCTGTGCGCATCGCGTTCTTTTCTCTCGTTTGACGTCACAAATAATGAGTTTGATAGCGAAATCCCTCGTGAAATCGGGAATTCTCCTGGCCTCGAGAGGTTGAGGCTGGGCGATAACAAATTCACGGGAAAAATCCCCTCCACGCTAGGATTACTTCAGCAACTATCACTATTGGACCTCTCGGGTAATTTGCTGACGGAGGAGATACCTGTCCAACTTTCCCTCTGCAAGAGATTGACCCATCTTGATCTCGAACGTAACCTTCTCTCTGGACAGGTCCCAATTTGGATCGGGAGTCTTCCTCTGTTAGGCGAGCTCAAACTCTCGGCCAATCAATTATCCAGCTCAATTCCTCTAGAGCTATTCAACTGTTCGAACCTGCTCGTCCTGTCCCTCAATGGAAACTCCCTTAACGGCACCCTTCCTCCTGAAATCGGTAATCTCAAGTCCCTCAACGTCCTGAATCTTGATGGCAATCAACTCACAGGTCCCATTCCTCCCGCCATTGGTCGGTTAAGCAAGCTGTACGAACTTCGCCTCTCTAATAACAGCCTGATTGGAGAGATTCCTCCTGAGATTGCTCAGCTACAGAATTTGCAGAGCATTCTGGATTTCAGCTATAATAACCTAACGGGTCCCATCCCGAGCTCCATAACTACACTCTCGAAGCTCGAATCCCTCGATCTATCCCACAACAGATTAAGTGGAGAAATCCCTACTAAAGTTGGTGAAATGAGCAGCTTAGGAAGATTGGATCTCTCCTTCAATCTCTTCAACGGAAAACTCGACCAGCAATACTCGCGCTGGCCTGCCACTGCATTCGATGGTAACTCAAATCTGTGCGGAGGCCCTCTTCAAAATTGCAAAGACATAAAATCGCCAAACAATAGGAGGAAATCTGGCCTCACCGACTCATCTGTGGTGATCGTATCAGCAATAGCAACGACGGTTGCAATAATTATATTAATTCTCGCAGCTGCACTCTTCTTCAAACGCAGGCGAGAAGCCCGTGAAATGGATTCCGCTTATTCCTCGAGTTCTTCCCAAGCACAGAAGCGGCCACTGTTTGATAATGCCGCTGGTAAATACGACTACAAGTGGATAGACATCATGGTGGCCACGCATAACCTAAGTGATGAGTTTGTAATCGGGTCGGGCGGGTCGGGTACCATCTACCGAGCTGAACTATATAGTGGAGAGACAGTGGCAATCAAGAGTATAGCAAGAAGGGATGACCTTCTGATGGACAAGAGCTTTGCCAGAGAAGTGAAGACGCTTGGGAGAATAAGGCACAGGCATCTCGTCCGATTGTTGGGCTACTGTAGCAACAGAAGGGCCGGGTCCAACTTGTTGATTTACGAGTACATGGAGAACGGGAGCTTGTGGGACTGGCTGTATAAGCAGCAGGCGAACGAGAAGAAGAAGAAAATTCTCGAGTGGGAGGCGAGGTTGAAGATAGCAGTGGGGCTGGCACAGGGGCTGGAGTATCTGCACTATGATTGTGTGCCCAAGATACTTCACAGGGATATTAAGTCGAGCAATGTGTTGTTAGATGCAAACATGGAGGCACATCTGGGGGATTTTGGGCTGGCGAAACCTCTCA